TGACATCTGCTTCCTTTTAGTTTTGCCACTGTGCGAGCTTGAGATGAGCTGACCAGCAGTGTGGTGCCTGGGGTAATGTGCCTGTAGCTGAGGAGCACAGAGACAGCAGCCACATGGGTGTTCTGTTGTTGTTTTTGCAGGTGCAAACGCTGTACTACTCAGCTGATCACAAGCTGCTTGATGGAAATCTGCTAGATGGACAGGCTGAGGTGTATGGCAGTGATGATGACCACATTCAGTTTGTGCAGGTACCAATTGCAGACAGTCTCAGGTAACCCCAGCTAGACTGGAGCAGTTTACAGCACACCTGAAGTCCTGTGTTCTGCTGGCAGAGAAGGCAGCAGGTGCTGTAGTGGAGAAATACACCAGGAGAAGGTGTCTGGCTGGGAGCTGCTGCAGGCCATGATGTGCTCTCAGCTTCTGTCTCTTTGGCAGGCTGGGCTGACTTTCAGCCTTTGCACAACAGAGTGCTCTAATTCTGACTTCAAAATCAATCCTGACTGTTAGAAGAAAGAAGAGGCAGACAAGCACTCAGCTGTAGGAAGTCAGCTGAGACCTTGTAGAGTTCCCAGAGTCTGTAGAGAAACACGGACTGCTTGGCTTGCAGTGGGGAATGTGTCTGGTAAATTTGGGCCCAGAAAAAGATTCCGGATCCAAGTTCTAATCCTTCAGCTGCCAGCGTCCGATTCTTGTTCAGCTTCACTGGTGGTGTAGCTGCCAAATCTCTCTGATGCTTTGACTGAGTGCAAATCACTCCTGTGCTTTTTGAGAGGTCTTTTTTTATGGTTTTATTTTTTTATTTCTTACCAGGTATAATCCTTCTGAACTCCAGAAAACCACATGGCTTAGTACAAACACAGGCTAAGATAGAAAGAATAAAAAGGACTAACAGTTGTAAATTATCAGTTGCTTTTTACAAATTAACTTGGTTTAAATTTATGAATTTGAAAGCAAACACATTGGAATATTTTATAACAGTGAAATATGTTCATACAAGAAGTTTCCTTCATGAAATTCTTAGCTAATGTATAAAACACTGTCCATCCCAGAATGTGGATTTTAGAAGTGAAATAAGAGGAAGAGGGAAGCCAGGTAACTTTCCAGTTTGTTAATTGCTTTTAGAAAGCCTTCACAGGGTTCTCCGCCTCTGGATACCATTTGTAATGCTTAGAAGCAGAGAGGTGAATGTAAAGAAAGTTAATTTTCAGAACTAAGACCAGGACTTCTCAATGTTTTTCTGCAAATCCTTAATAAGAAAAGTCACCAACTTCAGACATTCTTAACAGTTGAGCAAACTAACACTAAAATCCCCTAGATGCCAGTCCTGGAAAAATTGTAACTTTTATGTTTTTAAATTACAAAACTTCGTATTTTCTGTTGCTGTTGAGGCAATTTAAAGATAAGAGCTTAGGTGGTTAATTGGATGAAGGTTCAGAAGTAAAAAAAATTCTCTGTACAAGTGTGCTGCTTGTCACGGTGAGCTGAGCTTAGCAATCCAGCTCCTCTGTGTGAGGTTATCTGAGTTAGGTGATGTGTTTCTGAAGTCTTGTGACAGTTTCCATGGAGATCAGGCTCCAGGGAACTGTGCAGGCATTGCAGACTTGGGACTGTGGTCATAAACTCTGCTGCTGAACAGAATAGACAGCATGATAACTTCCTGTGCTTCAGGAAGAGCCTCAACAACCTAGCCAACTGTGCTGAAACTGGAATTTTGAGTTTTCTCTTAATAGAGTAAAATAATGTAAGCTACAGTATAAATTTAATTGGAGATGAAAAGAAAGTAGAAATCTCTTGTTAGCGGGAAGTATCAAGAGAGTAAAATCCAAGAAACAGCTAATCTGAGCACAGAGGGGAACTGAGGTGAAATTAGTTTGTCTTCAGGGAATGAAGAGAATAGTTTATTCACTTCCAAACAGCATTATATAATTAACTCAAGTTCCAGAAGCAAAGCTTCGAGTGAGGCTCCTATGTGGTAGCTCAGTTCTCTCCAGCTGCGTGTAGCTCTTCCCTTACATTTGTAAATCCTGCTAGAAATGCTCACTGACTGCAGTCCAGCACCAGCAGTATAAAGCTGTAGTCCCAGGATAAATTGAGTTCCAGGAGAAAAGTGTAGGGTGGTTTTTGGCCACTGTTGCTGGGCAGGCAAGATGTTCTGCTGAAAATATAGGTGTGCTATAAATGCTGCTCTGCGGAGGTGGTAGACAAGTGTGCTCTGGAGTAGCTACACAGTGTCTCAGAGAAGCAGAGGTAGAAGGAGCTGTAGTCTCTGGCTAGGTTTCTGTAGCTGCCTTTTGATTTTGCAGAAGAGGCCACCACGTGAGAATGATCACAAGCAGATCAGTAGCAGCTCCTCTGGAAGTCTTTCTCCAAATGCTACTGTTCAGAGTCCTAAACACGAGTGGAAAATCATTGCTTCAGAGAAGACTTCGAGTGAGTAACAAGGGGCTGGGGTTGTCTAACAGATGTGTATCTGGGGTACCTGCCACCTTCTGCTCCCTGGGAATTTCCTTCACATCTCTGAGGAATGCTGAGGTGTTTCTCCTTACTGATGATACAAGCCAAGTAATTTTTAGGGTGCGTCTGATGTACCTGGGCCAAACTGGGATGACATATATTTCATTTCCTTACCAACTAAATCCATGATGTGTCATCATTTTCCCAGAAAATCCTGAGGAGACAGGCAGTCCATAGTTAATTAACAGAGCTGTTTGCTCTGTGTGTGTAAGGAGACTCCCAGCACACGTTTAAGTTGCTGTTGTTTGTCCTTCAAGCACTCTTTTAGTGTCTAAAGCATAGTTGTCAATAACTAACACTTTTGGAACCAGTAACCTGAACAAAAATGAAGTTCCTGTGCTGCCAAGGGGAGTGGCACAGCCAGCAGAGCCCATTTGGCATGGTGCTCAGTGCCCCCTGGTGACACTGGCGGTGTGCTGTCCCCGCAGGTAACACGTACCTGTGCCTGGCCGTGCTGGACGGGGTGCTGTGCGTCATCTTCCTGCACGGCCGCAACAGCCCCCAGAGCTCCCCCTCGAGCACCCCGCGGCTGCTGAAGAGCCTGAGCTTCGAGCTGCAGCCCAGCGACCTCATCGAGAAGCCCATGTCCCCCATGCAGTACGCGCGCTCGGGGCTGGGCACGGCCGAGCTGAACGGCAGGCTCATCGCTGCGGGTGAGCCGGGGCAGGGCCGCTGGGCCAGCGCCGGGTGGTGCCTCTGAATGGGGGCCAGTAACCTCTCGCTTGCAGGGGGCTACAACAGGGAGGAGTGCCTGCGCACCGTGGAGTGCTACGACCCTGAGAAGGACACCTGGACGTTCATCGCGCCCATGAGGACGCCGAGGGCCCGGTTCCAGATGGCGGTGCTGATGGTGTGTGGGGTGGGACTGCACCTGGGCTGAGCTGAACAGGGCACACCGAACAGCATGGCTCTAGGAGTTGTTTCTCTGTAGTTCCACCTCTTGGTTACCCCAGTGCTCACAAACTGGCTGGTGTGCCGAGAGGTGACGGGTGTTGGTTTGTTCCCCTCAGGGGCAGCTGTACGTCGTGGGTGGCTCAAACGGCCACTCGGATGACTTGAGCTGTGGAGAGATGTATGAGCCCGAGATTGATGACTGGACCCCTGTTCCCGAGCTGCGGACCAACCGCTGCAACGCAGGTGAGGCCTCTGCAGCACCCAGCTGGGGGGTGGAGACTCAGCCAGCTCTTACTTACTTGCCATTCTTTGCTGTACCAACAGGAGTGTGTGCCCTGAATGGAAAGCTGTACATCGTGGGTGGTTCTGATCCCTATGGCCAGAAAGGACTGAAGAACTGTGATGTGTTCGATCCCGTAACAAAGGCTTGGACGAGCTGTGCTCCCCTTAACATCCGTAAGTTTGCTGGGGAGCTGGGCAGGGCTGGGGAGAAAAGGGCAGCTGCAGGACTGCACCAAACCAAAAACTACACCAAAGCAAAGCCCCTTTGAGTCGCTGCTGCTGTGGGCTGGTGGCTGACTGTGCCAGCTTTGGTTGCAGGGAGGCACCAGTCGGCTGTGTGTGAGCTGGGGGGGTACCTGTACATCATCGGCGGGGCCGAGTCGTGGAACTGCCTCAACAGCGTGGAGCGCTACAACCCCGAGAACAACACCTGGACCCTGATGGCGCCCATGAACGTGGCACGGCGCGGCGCCGGCGTGGCTGTCCGAGATGGTAGGGCTGGGGCTGCTGCCTCGGGGCTTTCTTGTTTGCTCTGATGTGAGTAGAATACAAAGCTGGGCAGGAAACAATACACTAGGAGCCTGGCTAAACGGCCACTTCTAATTAAAAAGCAAAAACCTCTTGGTTGTGGGGCACTTTGTTCTGAGTGTTCTGCACCTGATTGAATTTGGACTTTGCTCTTACTCTGAATCAAATTCCTGTCAGCTGTCATGGGCAGGAGCCCCAAAGCAGATTGCTGCTGTAAGTGCAGACCTTGACCAGGCCAAGGTCTGCGACAACACCTGGGTCCCTTGGGGCTTTGCTGAGCCTCCTGGTGGGAGCACAGGGCCAGCTGGTGCTGAGCAGTGAGCATGGCTCCCTTTCCCCACACAGGGAAGCTGTTTGTGGCTGGAGGATTTGACGGCACACATGCAGTGAACTGCGTGGAGATGTACGACCCTGCCAGGAACGAGTGGAAGATGATGGGCAGCATGACCACGCCCAGGAGCAACGCCGGCATCACCACCGTGGCCAACACCATTTATGCAGTGGGGGGCTTTGATGGCAACGAGTTCTTGAACACACTTGAGGTCTACAATCCGGAGTCGAATGAGTGGAGCCCCTACACCAAAATTTACAAGTTTTAAGTGAATTAAATTCCCTTTTCAAACTAACAGGCTTAGTGATGTAATTGTGTTTCAGTTAGAGGTACACCTGTGAATAGGGGTGGGGAGGGCATAGATGTTGCCAACAGCAACACAGAGCTTTTGCATATTGCATATTAACGTGCTGTATATATTTGTTTTGGAAAAAAATATTGAGATGAAGGGTTTTTTTGTGTATTTTAGAACTTTAAAGGTTTTGGTTTTGTTTTAAGATTTTGACAATAACGCAAGAGAAACTAGACTGGGCATATCATTTCAGGAGCTTCCCCCAGTATTTGTCACTTTGCACATTGGATGAATTCTTGGAGGTGTGTTCTTGGGGCAGGAAGGGTAACATTTGTGGGGGATAATGTTTTCTTCTTTCATCAGGCCTTGGTTTCCTTCAGTGACTGGAACAATCTGTAACAAGAAGCCTTATTTAAATAGATATAATGGCTATTTTTTTTATTAAAAAAGCTGACATGCCTCTGCTAATACCTTATCTTTTACAATTGCCTTTTTATAACAGTTTTTATATACTCAGCAGAGTATCTTGTCTGTTGAAATGCAAATGGCAGATAAAGGTTATTGAAACAAAGAGACAGCCTTGGAGTTTCTAGAGCCCGAGTGAGACAGTGGATTGCCCCCACAGGTGAGCTGCTGCCTCTGCTGTAGTAGTGTGAGTTAGTCTGCACCACCTTCCTTAGAGCTGCAGAGGGTTTCTGGACATGACACACCCAGACTTTCTAGGGTGGCAAAAGGATTCTGGCTCCAAGTGTTTTGAGGAGAATGCAGAGCGTGCTTTCTGTACAGCAGTTTTGTTACTCTGGGTGAGCTGATCTTTGTACAACAACAACAATTTGGGGAGGGGGGTTCTCATGGGTTTTAAACTCTTGCCAGCTGGCAAAGAAAATGTGTTGTAGTACCTGTCTTAAGTTTATTTTTCTAATATTACCAGCTGGAAGTGTGATAGAACACAAATAACTTGATTTTGTATGTGCTCATAGTCCTGTTTTAGTTCACTTTCTCTGTTCCTATGGATCAAACATTGGGGTGGGATGACTTGGTGTCTAATGTGTAGTGCTGCACATCTAACTCTGGGTGCCAAAACTAGCACTGACTGCTTGCTGCTGCTGCAAACACATTAAAGGTACCTTTGGGAAACCCTTGCACCACAGGCGTGCCCTGACCTGGCTCTGTGTCCTTTTCTTCAAGGAGGCGGTGTCCAAAGAGATACAAAAAGTGACATTTCAGATGGGTGTAGGCACAGGGCTGGAGTGTCCCATGTCCCTCATGCCTGTAGTGGAGAGTCAGGCTTGCTGCTCGAGGGAGCTCAGGGCACCACAGGCCCTGGGGAGTGTCTGTGCCAGGGCTTTCCCAGCTCAGGGGCTGTGGACAGAAACCTCTGCAGGCTGGGTGCTGCCCCACAGGGCCCACACAAACGTTTAAATGCACAACAGGGGGGCAGAGCTGCCCCTGGAGCTACTCCTTCACCTGGGCAGCTTTAGGGATGAGCCACACTGCTGCTGGGCCAGGTCCTGGGCAGTGGGGCAGGAGCTGGCTGCTCCAGCTTCCCATGGGACTGGGAAAACACCAGGCCCAGGAAATTCACTGGCCCCTGCAGGCTGGTGAAGCTGGTCCAGCTGAGCAGAGAGAGCCAGAAAGAGTGGGGAACACAAGACTCATCCGCCACACCAGCCCTTCTTCCCAGAACCTCCCAGAGCTCAGCCACCCTGTGCTGCAGCTGCCCCCATCAGCACCTTTGAGCCTCCCAGGGCTGGAGAACCCCCATGGGAGCAGCCCTGCACACTCACTGTGCTCCAACAGGAATTCCAGCCCACTCCCTGGCACGGGGGCCTGGGCAGGACTGCACTGCACTTGAATCCACAGCCACTGGGCAGAGCCACTCAGAATTAACCACTGTTTAATGGAACAATAAATTACATTTTTACAATCAAGAATTTACAAATACATCCAAAAGTTAATATCAAAATAGACACTGCAGAACTTTGCCAGTTTGCTCATCTCTGTACAAATACATACAAGAAGAGGTAGCGTTAAAAGGCCTTAGAAAATGGCTTTTGGAAAGTTTCATGGACTTAAAGCAGTTCTGGAAAGCAACCAACAGTGCAGCCAGAGAGGGATGTCACCTGCAGAGCAGGGAGGACCCAGGCCCATCTTCCAGAAGGATGTGGCAAGAGCAGGAGTCTCCCCAAGAGCACTGCTAGCAGCTTTCCACTGTATGATATAAAATGCCTGCTTAAACAAAGGAGAAAAGTCCTTTTCCTCTGAAAAGGGGTATGGGACAAACACCTGTGTGAGGGTGGAGGTCTGTTTTGTCTTTAAGGAACAACAGGCATCAGTCTGCTCCTCTGCCCATTCTACATCCTCTCTTAGGCCTTCACTGCACAGGACACACAGTGTCTGTGGGTCAGTCCTTTATTCCTGGCCTTGCACTCAGCTACTTCCTACCCTTGGGTGACACAACAGATTCCTTTCTCTCACCTGTGACTTGTAAACTACCAGCAAAACAAACAGAGGGGTTTTCCTATCCAACCATTAACAGCTCAGCTCCTCACAGGAACGCTGGATGCTCAGAGCAGCACAGCACAGCTGCTGCATCCCAAACCAGCCCTGCTTCTCCTGGCTATCCATGGCTATCCAGCAGCACCCTCACTCAAGACAGAACAATCTAGTAGTGAATAAAATTCTCAGCAGAAATCCCAACATTTAATGTCCACGTGAAACTGTGTTTTCCCTTCAACCCAATCCAGCGCCTTCGAGAAGAAAAGCCGGCAGGGTTTTGGCTCCTGCAGCACTTCCCTTTGCATCTCCTCCCCTCGGGAGGCGGAGCTCAGGCTGCTGAGCCGGCTCAGAGCCAGCCCCGGCTCTCGGCCTCCCTGTGCACGGACGCCTGGCACTGCTCCAGAGTCTGCTCCAGCTGTGCCAGCTGGCAGCAGCCCACTTCCAGCCTCTCCCTGGGAGACAGGAGAGAAAGGTTAGCAGGACACAGCAGAACAAGAATCTTTACAAATACTCCTTACATTTTCAAGGACGTTTCCATCAAACTCAAGCAGCAGCAGTGACTTTTGCACTACAGCTGCTACATCTGAGGATGTCACACGAGCTCCTCACAACAGGCAACCCACAGCTGCCACTGGCAGAGCTCCCGTTCCCTCCTAGGGCAGGTAAAGGGGAACAACTGTCAGGAGAGGTCACTGACATCAACTCCCTGCACAGACTGGGATTCTGGAAGGTTCAGTTCAACCATCCTTCACACACTGACATGGCCTGTACTCACACTCAAAATAATGATCTGGATACACCCCCTTACCACTCAGACCCTTTCAAAAGAGTAATCTCAACCTGATCACATGTAAACATGCCATAACTTAGGTTTCCAAAAGATTCTTTATCAAAGGACTATTTAAAAGCTGCTCCTCAAAAAAGGAAGAAAACCCCAATCACTGAGTTTCCCAAGCACAGCCTGAGGGCTGCCAGGGAAGTCTCCAAAGCACCTGTTCTACTCTGCTGAGCACAAATTTCCACACACTGTCTTCTTTATGCCTGTATCAATACAGGTTGAGAGCCATCAACTTTGAGTGAAGCTTTTAAAGTGTTTTTTATTACTGATACAAATATTGAATGTTTTCCTCCCTGAACAACTTTGGCCCCTGATCTTGCAATCTGTATATTGAACTTCACAGAAGATTCAGGGACCCAGAATGAATCCAGGCAAAGGGAAGCTTTTTAGAGTAATGCACCCTCTAGCCTTTCACTCAGCTGATCCTGGCCACACAACAGCAAAATCCAGTTACCTGGCCTTTATTAGCCAGCTCAGAATTATTAAAAAACCATGATGGCATTTTAGAAACCTCCCAGAGCCTGGATTTACAAACCTTCAGTGACACAAATTCATAAAGAAATGAGCCAGAAACCACAGGCAGAGGAGAGAGGGCTCAACACCTCACCTCCAACATCTGAAAATTTCCATGTAGGCACTGATGCCTCAAGTCCAATTTAATTTCTGTCTCCTGCTCTGTGTTAATCGGGCAATAAAATTAAAAAGGGAATTTTAAAAAATCCCCCATTTATTTTCCCTACACTATTCCCACAAAGGGGGATCTTTACTGACCCAGATGATTCCTCTCATGGTACCTTGGTTAATACAGGTGAAAAAGCTGCCTCAACTCCCCCAGTGGGGTCAGTAACTGCTCACCTGTAGAGCTCCTGTGAAACACACTCATACAGCTCCTCAGCAGTGAATTTCAGACTGTTATTGATCTAAAACAAAGAAGAAGGAATTAATATAGTCATTTATCAAGTATCACATGTCTTCCACGATTATACTGCAGGAATAGCAGATACACCTCATGTCTTCCCTAACAGGCTCTCAAGTTGAGACAGTACATTAAAAAAGTCATCCTGTGTCTTGTAATAAAATCTAATATTACAAATTCCAGCTCCATTTTCTAACCACTTCTGCACAAATCTAAAAGACCTTCAAAAATTCTTCCTCCCCCCCTTAAGTTACCCTATTTACATATACATATATATAGATATATGTGTGTGTATCTCAAATGAAATAAGCTCTGACTTGCATCAATTCCAAAAATATATGTGAAGGCCCAAACCCCAAATATATTTCCCTGCACAGCAGAGCAATGCAAGCCTGAAATATGTAACATATTAAACAGAAATACTCTACTAAAAACATTCATTTTGAGGCTTTTTTACTCTCAACAGAAGTCATTCACAGCAAGTGAGCACTGAGAAAATCACAATGAACAATTCAAATACTTGTTGAAATCCAACCAAAATCTATCTTTATATTCAACAACTAATAAATAAGAGCAAAGAATCAAAATTCTTAATGGACACACAGTGATGAGACATGACCTCAGAGCTACTTGAAATAAAAGCTGGAAGTGAAGTGATCACACACCGAAAAAAGTCATACCTCATGTCTTCTGAGGAAGTTATAGAGGGTCCAAATATCTTGGAAACTGCTGGTTGGGGTTAAAATTCTGAAAAAGAAAAGTTTGGGGATGCTTTAAAGCAAGTAGAAAAGGAGTCATGAAAGAGTTAAAAAAATAAGTCAGAAATCTTCAAGGGAAAAAAAAACTACTTGAACAAAAAGGAAATTATGAAGTTTGAAGAATTTTCCCTTCTACTACTCTAACAGAATTAAAGAGCTTATTATTTCTGTGAGGACTTTTCTGGAGGCTTTTTCTAATTAAAAATTCCCTCCATGTTTTTGTAAGCCATTTATGCAGGAGGGAGGAGGGAGGAAACCCAGCACTAACTGAGAGCCCCTTGGTGCCCATCAGTGAGGCCCCTGGGCTCATACACAACATTCCCACTCCAGCTTTAACTCATTCCCTCCAGATTCCCACGTACAGCTCAAATGCTGCAACTCACTTCTAATAATCACCAATTCCCACCCAACACAGCCAAGAGCCAATGGGATGTAGCAGCTGAAGAGAGGTGGCTTTAATGAAGCACCTTGGACACCTTTTCCACAAGGTTCCAAACCAAATCCAGTAAAGAAGTTGTTTTTTAACAAAATTAATTATCCTCATCTATTCAGGCAGATACAATTCAGTTCCACCTCAGTGTAACTTCATTTGCATTCACCAGGAAAAACAGAACCCTCCTAAATGCTGCAAAATGTACCTTAAAATCCACACAAAATTATAAGAGAAGTAACACATTATATATGTTAAGAAACACTGAGAAAAGTCTGGATTTTTACGTGTTACATAGTTAAATCATGATTAAGATAATGACTGGACTTAGAAAAAGAAAATCTATTGGGGAAAGCTCTATTTACTTTCCCATGGGAAAGTGCCCAAATTCTCTCCCTCCTCTTGCAAGCTGTAAGCTTCATTTATAAATGAATTAATTAGGAATTGAAAAAAAAAGGAAAGTAACAGAGTAAGTTTAAAAATACCAGTTAAAGGACCCCGTGTTTGAAGCAGGCTGGAAGACCATTGCACAGCACAGGATTTATTGTTGAGTCCCCTCTAAAAGCAGAGTCTCCACTGCTTTTTCTCATCATTTTTCATAGGAATTATCACCAAAAATTAGTCATGCATTCTTCCCCCTGCTTCCTAAGAAGCAGTACCCAAAATGTTTGCCTTAAACCTGCCAACTACGAGTCAGGAAGGGAACCAGCTGGCTGCTCTGCCTGCAAACACCTCAGAACCTTCCCCGGGCACCTCAGCGACAATCGGCCTTGACAGCGGAAAACCCCGGCAGGGAGAAGCTGCCAGCAACCCTCCATGGGAACGCTGGGAATCCTGGCAGCTGCAACTGCACAGCAGCTCCCACTCCCACTCCCAGCAGCTCCCATTCCTCCAGCAGCTCCCATTCCCCCCAGCAGCTCCCATTCCCCCCAGCAGCTCCCATTCCCCCCAGCAGCTCCCATTCCCACTCCCAGCAGCTCCCACTCCCACTCCCAGCAGCTCCAGGCCATCCAGCCCTGCCTATCACACCCAGCACCTGCAGCAGCAGGAGCAGAGCATCCCGAGCCTGAGAGAGGCTGATTCCTCATGGAATCATTCCCTCCAGTCCAGGCAGAACCTGCCTGACTGCTGCCATCAGCCTGGATGGACACAGCATAAAAGCTAAGGTGAGATTATTATGAATAATCTCACCCCAAGGCCATCACAAAATGCTGGGGCAAAATCTGTCCATCCCTGTTCACTGGGTAAGTGACAGAGCTGCCAGTGCAAAACCTGGCCATGGGAGCTCTCCAGAGGAAGAATGGAGGAAACACACTCAAGTGTATCCCTGCAAGACCTCAGGTGTATGGACAAACCCACTGTGCCTCCAGCTCTTTGGGGAAAAAAACCAAACTGTGTAATTAATCATCCAAGTAATTTAATGTTAAATCCTGTGCCTCATTTTATGGCCTTTGCTTGGATGAAGCCAATGGTTTCTGGGTTTGTACTGTGGAATGAGAAGTCTGACATTTGGCTCCAAGTTTTACAGCAGCTCTAAATGTAAGAGATTTGTTGCTTTGAGGGGAGAGCCCTGACTCCATACAGAGCCCTGGGAAGCTGCTGAGGGAAGAGCCTGCACCATAACTCCCCCCACAGATTCCCAACAGGTCAGCACCCATCCAACAGCCTGGTGCTGTCTGCAGCTAACCAGGGGCTGCAACACCAGTTCCAGTCTGGGAATGTATTCTTCTGTACAAAACTGACACATTCCTGTCTGCAGAGCAATGATTTCTCAGCACCACTGCTCCCTACTGCTTTCAATCACTTCATGTTCCTTTCACTGCCTGTAGCCACCACCCTGTGCTATGGAAAATGGACCTTTTAAGGGAAGGAGTACACTGGGAAATCTGGACCTGTCTGTAGGGGTACTGACTCTGCCTCCATTACTTCATTAGATCAAGTTGCCCTCGTTTCCATGGAAGTTTCTCAGTGATAAAACTTCTGCCTCAACTACAGAACTATGTCTAGAGAACTGCCTGTAAATCAGTAATCCATAAAGCTTTTACATCCAACTGCCCTAAGCAGGCAGCCATGTGAACCTCAGCACTACAACACTGACCACTGCTGCTGCTCCTCTCTCCACACTGGGTCACAAGCAGAGGGTGGAAATCCATGGAGTCACTTGGCCTTTCCATCAGCACAGCCTTGCAGAACCACAACACCCCCCATTTTGTACTTCAGCTTCAACCTAAGAACTCCAGTGTGGTTCTACACAGTTTTCTGGAAATACTGAGCATGACAGGTAAAGAAGGGAATGCCATAGAAAGACCCAAGAAATTAGTATGGGTATCTGTACCCAACTGGAGGTTAAATGCTGTCTAGGGGGCAGGAGGGAGAAAGGAGACAGTCAGACTTGATGATTTTATCTCAAGTGCTTCCCAAACCACTCCCAATGTTTATCTCCTGTCCTGTCACTCATCTGATGCCAAACACAGGTGTAAGATACAATAATAAATAGAAATGGATAAGAAATAGGTCAAAATACCTCAGCTGTCAGCCCCTCCTGGCACCCCTGGCTCTACAGGCTCAAAGCACCATGGCTTTTACAAGCCCATGTCTGAAACCTTTCTGCTTTTCAGACTGCTCTAAAGGCACCAGGGTGTGAGCAGCTGCACCTCTGCCCTGCCCCTGGGGAGCACTGCCCACTTCCAGCTCCATTTGAGCTTTATTTCTTACAGCTGTCATTAAAATTGGCACAACAGAACATTTCAATCTGGGCCTGGCAGCAGAGAAGGCTGCAGGTAATTCAGTTTCAGGTTTCACATAAATGCATAGAACCAGAAAGATCAAACAAGTAGTGACTGGAATGTCTGATACTTTTTGAACAGGGAGCTAATCTCCATTTTACTTCCAAAAAGAGACTGTGTGCAGAGAAGATTAAAGGCAGAGCTCTTCATCTAGAGACTTTATGGCAGAAATTATTAACTGACACAAAACCTAAGGGAATGAAGACAATTCTCTACTGAGACACCAAGGAGAAGAGACCTCAGTAATTCCTCCACCGGCCAGCTGAAAAAATAAAGAGGAGACAGTTTCTCTGCATCTGAGGAATTCTGTACTAAAGCTAGCAACCCTGCAGAATTGGTTTTAAATTATTGCAACTCAGTGATCAGTTCTGATATAGTAACACTCTCCTGCACTACTGAAATCTTAAGAAATTACACTTTTAATTTACAAATGTTTATGGAGTCCTTGATTAAACCATATTTTTCCAAACCATTGGGAGTGCGAGAGAAATTCAATTTAGATAAAATATTAGAGAAGCAGAACTCAGGCTCCTTATGCAGTCAGTAACAGACAAATATTTTACAGGTGACAGCACATCAGTATAAATATTTAGGAGGCCTGTATCTAAGTATATATGCTATAAGTGAGTGATTTTCAAGTTGGCATATGAACAAAAAAAATCTTTTTTAGCCAAGAGATGAAAAGAAAAAATCCAACTTCAAATAACTGCATCAATTCACCCAAGACTGAATTTTCTTTCTTTCCTATGAACAAGGATTTTTTAACTAAAAGAAACCTGGCAGGAAACGTGAGGACAATGTCCAATTCCCTAAGGACTGCATACAGAAGCTTAGAATCACAAGTTCTATTCAGCTGAGGGCAAACATCAGCTAATCTAAACCCCTATTTTATTTTAAAGAGTTAATTTAAGAGATCTTAAATAAGGTGCCCCAATTAACTGGTTAGAAATAATACCAAACCCAAATACAAATATAAACCACCAGTGAGAACACTCAGAAATCCATAATCCAAAATTATATAATATCATGTCATGGTTTCACAGTTTTACTGGATGCTTAAATTTCAGAGGTTTCATACCCTTTGCCCATTACCAACAGTAAAGACACATAGTTAGAACATGCTAAGCTGATTATTCTTAATTTCAGAGCTGAAGGCTGTCATTGCTGGCATGCAGAACTGTGCAATACAAACACCACTCTGCTTACCAGTGCTGTTAGAGGAAGAAATCAAGACAAAATAAAAAACCTGCATAGTGTTACAGAAATTACAAGAACAGGGTAATGTGCCAAAAGCTGTTACTGACACATCTTCAATGAAACAGTACTTTTTTTTTCCTTTTCTGTATCTGTATTTGTCATTAACATGTTCTGGCCATCAAGCCTGAATAGGTGGGGTAGTGCCACTGGTGTAGTATTTTTTAATATTAAGAGTAAGAGTATCATTACATTTATCTCAAAAAGCATTATCATGTTTTTCTAATTGTTTTTAACAATCTGAAAATCTAAACTTTTAATGCAGTTGAACTTCCAACATAATTGACTGATTAAGCTTGCAAACTTCCACAAGACATTTTCTCTTCTTTGTTCTGGACAGCAGGGATCAGAAGGTACCACAGAATCAGCTGTGTTTGATCACTAAAAGCTGTGTTACCTCCAAATATTCAATACAGAACTTTCTCACTATTTTTTCTCCAGTGCCTTCTTTTCTGCAATCGTGCCATTAAGTCACTGAGAGGCATTTTTTTCAAAAATGAAGAAATATAAATACACTGCAAGGTCAATTTTAGAGCAAAATGAAAGTGAGGTGTCTCTGCCCATGGCAGGGGGTGGAACAAGATGAGCTTTAAGGTCCCTTCCAACCCCAGCCATTCTGATTCTATGAAAGCTTCTAAATTTTTACTTTAATATTCTGTAATATTCATAAAACTGCAGTGAGACATTAACCTGGCTCCTGGCTCTCTGTAAAAGCTCCTCAGAACACTCAAACTCCCTTAAATCCCTCCACTCAAGGCCAGTGTAGGGAATGCTTGGTGCAAATTCTCCCCACTTCTTGCTCCACGATGCCACCTACTGCAAACCTGCACATGAGAGCAGGCATTTCCAAAGTGTCCAGGAAAACTCTTCCATTCCAACCATCAGCCTGTGTACTTTTATTTATTATTAGGAGTTTATTTTTGCAGAGCTCTCCCACAAAGGAAACCAACAGTTTTCAATGAAACACCTCTGCAACACAAAAATAACCATTCTGAATATTCCATATTCCCATTTAATCTCATCCACCACATTTATAAACTGATACCACAGGATCTGTTGCAAAAGCTTTAGCATCAGAATGAAGAGAGCAAAGTTTAGCAGTAACCTACTTTATTGAAACAATTTCCTTAGAGGGAAAAAACCCACTAGCAATAAATTGAATCCATCAGCACTCAGCTGCTCAAGCTCACATTTCTACAGATATTTTTCTGCTTCTAATTTTTATAATATTTTGATTATTTATATTTGAAAGAGACTGTAATCCTTTGAATATATCTGTATTTCAGAGCCATGAAAAAAAGGACTAAGCCAAGACAACACGGAAAATTCCTTATTCTTCCTGAAACTTCTAATATTTTGTGCTGTAAAAAAAGACAGTGGAGGGATGGGGCTCCCCCTGCCAGAGGGCAGAGTTAGATGGGATACTGGGGAAGAATTGTTCCCTGTGAGGGTGGGCAGGCCCTGGCACAGGGTGCCCAGAGAGGCTGCGGCTGCCCCTTGAAGTGTTCAAGGCCAGGTTGGAAGGGGCTTGGAGGAGCCTGGGGCAGTGGAAGGTGTCCCTGTCCATAGCAGGGGTGGCACTGGATGGGCTTTAAGATCCCTCCCAACTCAAACCACTCTGGGAATCTGTGTTTCTATGAAGACAGAGGGAATATTATCCTATCTAAAGAGAGAATGCAGCTGATTGTCATTGTTATGGCTGTCATGAAGAACTGGGAACAGCAAGGCCCCAGAACTTTACATCCTTCAGTCTACTGGAACTTTACCCCATCTGAGCAGGCCTTACATTTGAAACACAAATTCTCTGAATTATTCAAAGTTCCTGCCATCAAAACTGATGTATTAATTATAATAATCAATAATAGTTCCAGTTACACCTGAGCAGAGGCAACTTGCTGGTCAAACACCAGAAAACAAAGAGATCTCCACATCTGCAACACTTCCATGATCTTTTGCTACCAGTGGTTCAAGGCAGCCTTGACAGCAGGATTTTTACTGCAAATCATGTCACCAAGCACACAGAATAAAGAGTGGTTTGGTGCTGAAATACTTCAGACTGCTGTGACTTCAGGTGCCTGTGACACATTCAGTGCCCAGCTGCAGTGCTCACCTGCCAATGCCCTCACGGATGTCCTTCACTGCTGCCAGCAGCTTCTGCAGGCCCAAAAAAGCCTCCTCAAACGAGGCCTTGGCAGCCATGGTCACTGCACTGGGGTCCAGCTTCTGGAATAGCTCAATACTGAAATTTAAAAGAAGTAAAGAAGAGATAGAAAAGCAGTTATTAAAAATCTCTGACTGACATTATCTGCATGCTCACAACTTCTGTGTGATTTTTTTTGGGCTAATTTAGATTAATTACAGGGTAAAAAAGCACAGTTTCTAAAGTGTGCTTGTTTGAAAGTTATCTAAGGTTATGTGTTACTTCTGAGCCCCTTCAGCAAGCTGTACCTGTACAAGTTCATGGTGTTCCAAACACCTTCCAGGACCGACCAGATTTCCTGGTGCCTGTTTTCCTGAGCCACATGAAAGCTGGGCTGTAGCTCTTTTTCCTCAGTGCTTTGCAAATTGGGCATCGTGGCTTCCATTTTTTCACATGCAGCATTTTCTGAAAGAACCATGATGTCTTCTGATAAATCCTGCTCACTGTCTGCCCTCACCTTATAAAACAGTTCAGCAAACAAATAATCAATTTGGTTCCTGACTTCAGAAATGCAGAATCTACACACTTCTACAGATTTTCTTTAAGCAATTCTCAAGAAATCAAGGCTGAACTCTTCGAGTTGCCTTGGTTACAGTCTCTGCATCCACAGCCTCTCTCAATGGTTGGGCTGGAAGGGAACTTACAGCCCATCCAGTGCCACCCCTGCCATGGGCAGGGACACCTTCCACTAGCCCAGGCTGTTCTAAGCCCTGTCCAGCCTGGACTTGGACACCTCCAGGGATCCAGGGACAGCCACAGGTCTCTGGGCACCCTGTGCCAGGGCCTGCCCACCCTGACAGGGAGGAATTTCCCTCCTGACAAGTTTTCAGACAGAGCCTGATTCTCATGACACAGAACATCAGGTTCAGGGCTGACTGCATTGCACAGAGGTCCCAGCACAGGAGACTCCTGACCTTTCCCTTTCATCCTTTTCCAAAGACACCAAGAACCTTTACAGCTGTTCTGACCTATCTTCTTCCCCATAAATCCAAATATTTCATCCATGCTCATAACTCCAATTTTTATGTCATTACATACAGAACTGACAGTAACCATAAACCAAGATAGTTGGAATTTTCTCCACAGAGCTGAGCTCGGAGGGAAGCCCAAGTTCTGAGAACACAAAAGGGGCCAGGACAACCACCACAAATCATGTGATACAAGGGAGTCCCTTCAGCTACAAAGAAAGCTGAAATAACACACTTAAGAAGAGCTGTATGGGACTCATGTCACAAGGAGAACCAGCAAGTTTAGCCTCTAAGGCCCATCACATACAAATGCAATAGAAAACTAAGACTAAATAATGGTTTTCAGTCACCTTTCCAATACTAACACATTTATATTAGGGAAAAAAATGTATCAGCAGATATTCACTGCATGAAAATAAAAGTTAAAGTTAGGGTCTCTTCATTTTGAAAACTCCAGCAACTTTCCTGGAGTAATCAGTGGAAATGATGGGAATATTTAAGAAATCTAAGCCAGGTTTGGAACATGGAACAATTTGAGGATGGGGTGAGGGGGACAAACACCAAAGCTGCCCTTACCCCCCCGAGGGTCTCACACAGTTTTGTCACTTCAGCATAAGCCTGGGGGAGGACACCGTTGTAGTCTGACCTGCAGCTGAAAGCATGGAGCAATTTTTTGGATTCCTGGAGTAGGACACGCACTGTTGAGGAGTCAAATGGTTTATCTGATGTTTAGACATTCATGTAAGAGAGAGGGAAAAAAAAAAGTTAGGATTTAACAGTCTTGGCAGGCAAATTTAATACTCAAATAGCTAGATTAACAGAAGCACATGAAAAGCCCAGGAAAATGGCTCAGAAGCATCAGGTACAATCTCAGAGAAACATGCATGAAATTGCTCACTCCTTAACCAAGCCTTCCAAATTTATCCTGGGATCTTGCACAAGGATCAACTGGTATTTCTAAAGTAACTCTGCAGAACAGCAGAATATCCCAAAGAGGTAGAACCAAGAAATTCCTAGGATATCCTGAGTGGGAAGGGACCCACAGGGATCATGGAGTCTGACCCCTGGCCCTGCACAGACACCCCAACAGTCCCACCCTGTGCATCCCTGGGAGCATTGTCCAAACTCTCCTGGAGCTCTGGCAGCCTTGGGGCTGTGCCCATTCCCTGGGGAGCCTGGGCAGTGCCCAGCACCCTCTAGGGGAGTTCACCAGGTCTGTGTCAAAATTAAATTCTCTCAAAGACATCTTTAAACAAATGGAAGGTTTGTGGGGGTTTTATTTTAGTTGGCTTCTTTTTAAAACAAACCTCCCTGCCCTCACATACCATATTAAATATCCTTTGCTCCTCCATAAAATTTTTGGCAAATGCAGATCATTTGGTCACATGTAACATGGGGCAAAGGAGGGAAAAGCATTATTTGCTTTGTAAAACAATTCAGACCTAGGTGACCATTAATACACACAGTCAGCTCCATAACTCAAAGCAGAACATGGAGGCTTTTTACAAGTTTACTTGTAACTTTCCCAGGGACTGTTACCTGCATAAAGGTGTTTAGAAAGACATTCAATGGTTGAAAATAAACTCCTTGGCACCACATAACCAAAAACAGCCATCCAGTGTTTTTTATAACATTTCAGCAGGTTTGCTAAGGTCCATGGTGGCTTCAGATACAGGATCTGGAAGAGAGTATATTATAAATACAAAAGCTGGTTTTCATTTGGACATATTCCTATACATCCCACAACTGCTCTGTTCTGCAAGAATGTGATGATTTGTGACTGCTGAAGGAGAAACTCAGTGATTGCTCAGAAATAAGACCATGACCAGATTTAAACAAGTTTATCTATTAATAAATAGATATTAATAAGTAGATAAATTTGATTCAGCAGCACCATGGGTTAAACAGTGATGCTCATTCAGAAGCAATGCACAATCAATCAGCCTTATGATTCGTGGTTCCCCATTCCTCAAAAACTCTTAATACCTTTGATTTATATCAAATAAATCTAATGAGTTACTTGTGCACAAAAGCCAACAGTAACAAGAACAAAAGGCATAACAGTAAATATGCCTTTAATTTTCCACTACTGTTACAAAGTAAAAATAAACACTGACTACTTACACATGAAGTAAAATATATGTATTGCAAAAAAATTGAGAATTCACTACTATCAAGTGAAACCAGTGTTTGAAGATATGTTTAAAGAAATTAACTAAGTGGATAGAGATGTGATTGAAAGTTTAGCAGCTAATCAGGGCAAACAACTGTCACTCCAGGATTTTGGGGGATTTTTAAAGCCACAGAGGCTTACATGCAATAAATTTAAACTTTTAACAACCCCCCACCAGCTATAAAATGGAATCTAAAATAAAGCATGGACGATTTGGAAGTGCCTGGTACGTGGGTATTTATCTTCTGCAAACCACACTTCTGCAAGCATGTTTAGAGGTTCTCATTAGTACCCCTGTCATTCTGTATCTGCACTGGACTCAATTTAGCTGGGAACAGTTTTATCCACATCTCTAGTGGGGAAGAAATGCCTGCAACAAATGCCCTGATATTATACAGAACATGATGGAATGATTTCTTGCAGGATGTATTTACAGTGCAGGGTTTTACTTGAGTAGAAAAGCTGAAATAGAATTTTAATGCCACTAATAAAAGAATTCTGAAACTTCACAGTGAGAAACCAGCAGCCGTGTTACAGTGTCATTAAAATTCTATTAAAATACTGTACATGTTGCACACTAGTGGTCAAAGAGGATAATCTTGCTATGAAATGAAATATTAGAAGTGAACACTGAGCTGTTCCCTGTCAATGGTATCAGGGACCTGGATGACTTGGCTTTGGCTTGGTACAGGTATTAATAGCAATAAAACACCAAGGACATTCAAACCTTTCAATAATCAAAATATCGAGCAAAATGATGTAAGAAACCACCTCCATCCACAGGTTTCCAAATGCAAGTTTCATTTCAGTCTCCAAAATACAAGACAAAGCTTCTCCTAAGTTCTTTTCAAGGTCTGGAAGCACATTTGGGAACTGTGCAGTAAAACCAGCATCACCTCTTGTCTTCCCAAGTTCTGTATCTGTCAAACCAATGACACAAAAGGCATTTATTGAAACTGGGTTTATATCTAATTCATGTTGATGGCACATGAAGAACTTGTCCCCATAAATAAAGACAGACTGCACTTTGGTTTATAAAGCAGATGTGCTTCACCTAATTAAGTTTCAGTTATTTCTAGTTATACCAACCTCTTATATGGTGTCTATTTTTAATTAAAAGCTACTAACCAAGAAGGTTAATGTCCCCAGAGTATTACTCATTAATGATCTTACTCCACATTTCTTTTTTCCTTAAATAACTTAGATCATATAGAGCCAGCAGGGTTATCAGCAAGCACAATAAGATCTCTGTAAGCTGTACCTGTACCTTTGGAAAAATGAAAAAACCTCCTTCAGTCCCAAAAAGTTCAGGACAGCTTTTAAATTACTCTAAACACAGGAAATTAATGCAATGGTTTTTTCTATAAAATAAAAATACGTCATTTTTGAATTTCCCAGAACTCTGAGATGGTTTAATGCCTTGAACTTTCAGAAAACCTTTGAAAAAACCTTCCTCAAACAAAAAACATTCCTAAGGATTCAAAGCATAGGAAAACTGAAAGTATAGCAGTAACTGTTTTTCCTCTACCTCACTGATTTTTACAAACTCACAAACCACCACATTCCACAGACTCACCCTGCTTTGGCTGCTGCAGCTCCTCAGAGTTCTGAGGCCTATTTGCATTCACATTCTGCAGAGCAGTGACCAGATCAGCTTTGCAGAATGCCTTGACCTCACTCACAATGGCTTTATTACACAGATTTTTATCATCCCTAGAAAACAATTAATTGTTGTCAACCAAGGAATAAAAGCAGCACACTTGTATTTGGGAAACTTATTTTGTGAACTTCATTATATAGGCAAAGTTCTCTTTCTCAATAATTTAGAAGCAGTTCAAAAAATTAAACCAGAAAATTAAGTAAAAATGAGAAACATACTGAGAAGTGTTTCAGGGTCTACATTTAAGAGAACAATAGCTATAATTACTACAACAGTGATTACAGCAGTGATGCTTAGTTGCTTTGATCTCAGAAAGCAAACCAGCAATAATTCTAAGAGAGTACTGTCTCATTTGATGGCTACAGTCAATTCTTGTTGAGACCCTTTTTAACTATTCTGCTGGCCAAATCTTTATCTCACTCTGAGGTTCTGCTCCAGCAGAACTACTTTAAAATTCCAGGACAAAGTTGCATCACAGCACTTTCTCAAAAATTCCCATTGTGTATATTGGTAGAGGATAAAGGGATTTTTGGATGAAAACCAGTTCTGAAGTCACCTCCTGTTTTTTGATCAGTGAAACCTAAAATCACCATCACTACCCTATGAACACTGTGACTGAAATGGCATTTTCAGGAGTCACCTGTGTCAACCTGAACAATCCAAACGCTGCCCAGAGTTTTAATCCCACTCACTGAACCATGAAGGAACTGATTCTAACCAAGAACAGAGCAAGTAGAGCCAAGGAGTATTAGTCCTTCAAGCTGCCTTCACCTGCTCCTATCAAACTCAGAATCAATACCCAGAGGTCAGCTGTTATCCTCACAAACAGAAACAGCAGCAAATCCAACCCCAGCTTCCCTCTTTCTAAGATTAACACCTTCTTTGCTTCTGCTCACCTGGCTGGGAACAGGGATAAAGTCTCTAACTGGATCTAAATCCTTAATTCACACATTTTTTTTCTACTTGTAACTTCAGAATTATTTTTTATGAGAAACCAGAATAAAATCTGAGAAACCTATGCTTTAACTAGTTTCAAAATTGAATACTGAGTAAGCTGAATTCTATTTCAGGCCTCAAGCTCATGAAGGTGATTCCATCTCCAATCATAGTGGTTTATTATATGCTTCTACTCTAGCTTTTAAGAGAGTGATTGCCCTTCCAAGAGCTTACTTTACAAGAAAGTGCTCTTTCTTTAAGCCCTGACTTGAAAGCAGTGTGGCAGGAGTGCTAAAGGCAGCCAGGAACTCACGTGCACAGGACAACAAGAGCTTGTGGGAAGAGCTTCTGGTACTGCAGGCAGCACTGCAGGACGCGGTCGTCGTTGTTCTCGTCACTCAGCCCATCTGCAAAGGCAGGACAGACACAGCTGAGGGATGTGGGCTGTGCCACACAAATACAAACACATGTGGGCTCAGCCTCACAAACACCCCAGTGCACTCGTGGTGCTCTTTGTACATTTAACACTCCCCACACGAGGACTCAAGTGTAAGGTGAAACTGAGAAACAACTGGTAAACAAGAGATAGTGGAGACATTCGCATGCCACAGCCTTGCATAACTCTGAAGGCTGCTGTAAGAAATTAGCTCATGTTAATTAGCAAACAGCAGAGTGAAGAAGTCTCCATTAAACTCAGAATTCTAAGGTTGCCACTAGGTGAAGTGCAAGGATGAAGTACCCAGCACAAATGGATTGCACATGTATTACACATTTTTTGAGAAGCCAGCTGCATGGATTGCCCCCACAGTTTGGAATCCTGGTTCTTGAGACACTTGTAGATGAACTGCACTGCAGGGATGGCTTTGTCCCGGACATGCTGCAACATTTTCCCCTTCTTCAAGTTGTCCAGCTCTTGTAGGACGACCCAGGGAATTATTAATGCAAGTCTATCAACTCCTGGAAGAAAAAAAAAACAAACATCACCAATAAACAAAGGTATTTGCTGGAGTGACACAAACTACCAAACAAACCAGAGAACTTTCAATTCAAGCATCATATTTATGCAAGTTCACACCTTTTTGGCAGTAGTTTTCATAGTCCTTGCTCGAGAGAACCTAGCATTTGAAAAAGAGCTGAAAAAGGCTGACTTCCCTCTTTCTAATCTAACCTCAATCTGGCACTATACCGATTACATAGAAAAGTGACAGTACCAGGCAAACAAAAGGGAGACACAATTTTAATCAGCAGAATACTTTGAAAACATTAATAACACAGACTTGCACTGATTATCTTGGCACACAGCCGCTGTGAGATGCTGTAGCAAGGTGAAACAGCAGCTGGAATAGCAGGCTGCACACACCCGAATGACCACAGCAGTCACTGTGCCAAAAACAAGCAGCAAAGAAAAGCAGCAAGGGCTTGTGTTCATTGCCAACCAGCACTCCTAAACCAGGAACAGAAAGTGTGGATATTGGACCATGGTTTTATTTGTAGGTTAAGTATGGGCTGAACTTTAAAGCTTTTATATGAAATACAGGAATAAGGAGAAATCAGAAGTTGAATGACTGCTCTGTTGGTCTCCCCATGACAAATACTTCAACTATTTTCTTTCTCATTCACATTATGAGAACAGAATTTTTTAAAAATGCATTAATAACCATCTGCTTTACAATAAATAGGCTGGGAATCAGCAACCTTCTCAACACAGTGGGTCTGGTGCAGGACCAGGAGTTGCAGTGTTCTAAAAAGGCATCTCAGTGTACCTGAGACAGCAGCATTTCCAACCTGGGAGAAGAAATACAGTCTGACACACTCCTGAAATCACTCTGGCCCTAAGGAAAGGTATTTTCCAGGTGGCTGGAATAAGTGTATTCATTAGCTGAAAGCATATGAGCACCCTAGGCATTCTGACAATTCCAGATGTGCCTTCCAAGAATTGACACGCACGATCCCAATCCTGCAAACATGAAATATCCAACAGCTTCCCAGAATATCAGAGGCAAATATTAAAGCCAGGGTCTGCATTTTGAATTCCTGAGAAATTGCTCAGTTCTGTCACTTTTACCAAGACAGAAACAAAGCACTGACTGCCTGCCTAACATTTTTTAGATTGTTTTGTATTTCTATAAAAAGAAATGCTAAAAGGAGACAAGAAAATGGAATTATCACTAGTAAGGGGTTAAAGGCTTACATTGTGTTCTTAGAAAGAACCACTAAGAATCTAAGCATATTCCTGGGAGCATCTGCCATGACTCTCTTTAGGTACACGGGCTGTAAGCACAGTAGGTTCTGCTTCCACAGCTGAGGCTTCCCTAGGATGCAGTGGTTTGGGTTCACAGGACCAGGCTCTGTGTGTGCCTTCTGCCTCTGCATGAAACCTGCTGCCTTTTCAAGGAGCCCAGGGCTTGGTTTCCTTCAGGTATCCTGAAGCTCTTACAGCATCTGTTTTTCTTACTCATCAGAACATATTGACATACCTGGTATATCCTCAGATTTCAGGGATCTCACAAACTCGAGGTGACTAATCATTATATTTGTGTCAATCACCACTAGGATGTTCAGACCAGAACTAAAAGCCCCTAGGGGAAGAGAGAAAAGAGAAAACAGCAGAAATAATCAGTTGTGTGCTCCCTACTCAGACCATCAATAACTGTAATTACTTGTTGCCACTAGAGAGCAAAGTAGATCCAATCATGACATACCAGCAGAAGTATTTAAATCCTGTTCTGGAAGATCTATCTCCATGCTTGTAAGTTCTCCACAGGTCTGTACTACAGACAGGGCCATCTTCTTCTCCACACGAGCAACGTGCAAGTCTTCAACTATCTGCATCTACAGTGAGAAAATGGGTATGTGTGTAATCCATTGGAAGGAATCCCTTCATAATTATTTCCCAAAAATACACTTTTGCATTAAAGCTGTTAAAACTGCCTCAAAATGATGTCTGAAAAGTTTTAAGTCAGTACCAGAAATGTAAATCCACGAGAACTTCTGCATATGCTCCACTAAAGATATCCAAAATATGGCCTAGAAAGATTTATGACCTTTCTACATGGTATTCAAAAACTTTGCTGTATTTTTTGCTACACAAACTGCAAGTTTCCTAACAGGCACTTCTTAAAAAATATGTCTCTCTTCCAACTAAAAAGTTAGAGGATGAAAAATGAGATAGCTGGAGCACGTGAGCAACTATGAAGGCCCTTTTGTTGCACATGGTAACAGAAAGACACTCTTATCTCAGAAAGTTCCTGATTAGCAGCACTTCAGCAAGTTTGCTTAGTTTTTTTTTAAATAAATGCTCCACATTTGGGTGTACATCATGAGTCAACAATGCCAAACACTAGGAAAGGTCATGGAATTGTCCAGTTACACAACCTCAGTGCCCCTGGTCTTTAAGACAACACAGAAGTGTTAAATGAAAGCATTACCAACCTCTTGGTCTGTTTCTGTGTTCTGACTTTCTTGAAGGGGTGGAAAGTCTTCAGAGCTCTGTAGGGAGAATTAAAAACACAACAAACACACACCCTCCAACATCACAAAATATCAAGGAATACTGAGGTAAAAGGGATCCCCATGACAGGAGTTTTGGAATACAGCCCTACAGTGTTAAACAAGTCCCTCACTCACCTTTGGGACAGGCACAGGCTTCCTGACCTCACCTCCCTGGTAGGAGTCAGATGTGCAGGGGTCCTCAACATGCTAGAAACAAGCAGGAACAGAACAACAACAGGTGTCTTGGAGGGCTTTTTAGAGAACATTTGGTACTCCCAAGTGAATAGGGAACAGAAACTACAGTTATTAGCATCTACGGTATCATTTTAATAAGGCCTAGATGCATAGATTTCTTTTAAATAAACAACAGTGGATTACACAGCAAATTCCATCTGAATATTAACCCCCCACATTTTTTTACATTGAAGGTGCTTGACCAGGCTGCCCAGAGAGGTTGTGGAGTCTCCATCCTTTATCCTGGGCAATGAGCTCTGGCTGACCCTGCTTGAGCAAGGGGGGCTGGACTGGATGGTCTCCAGAGGTGCCTTCCAACCTCAGTGACTCCCCAGCTTTGCACATAACAACTCTTAGCATACACACAACCATAACACAAACACTACCATAACACAAACTGGAATCTCCAAAGTTGCTGGGCATTTTCACCAGAACAACAGCAAAAAACCCCCACGCTCAAGATCCAGCTTGTGTTTGGCTCTGCACCACAACCTGAGCTTAGAAACAAACCTGTCACAGATGAAAGAGAAGTTCTGCAGCACACATACCTATTTAGACCCACATCCACCCCAAGCTCTCCTGGCATCACTCCACAAGCAATGCTCTGTCTGGCAGCAAGTTTTCATTGCTTCAGTTTATTCATTCAAAAAATGAAATAACCACATCAGCTCAAACAAAAAATAGCTGATTTATACCTAAAGTATTCCACACCCCCCAGCAGCAAAGCAAAGCCATGGAAACATCTCTGCAGACACAGCCCCAACATCCAAGACCTTTACTCTTCTGGTCTGTTTAACATTTAGCTGAGGAACATGGAAACAAGGTTTACATTAGGATCAGAAAAATCCACCTAGTTAGCTATGAAACCTGGCTGGATTCTGTAAAGAAGACAGTCTGCTCATATAAATCTGCCATGAAGTAACCATCCTGAAACATCTACATAATACAAAGAATGGGGTTCTAATTACCTGCTTAAAACACAATGCTGTGGCTTCCAAGTCTCCTTTAGTTCCTGAGTGCTCGGGAGCTTCAGGAGAACCAGTGCTGTGTTTCTTGCGCTTCCGAGAGTCCCGTCGTGGTGGAGTTTCAGATGAGGAGTGTGATGATCTGTGTTTACTTGTGTACCTCTTTTTCTCAGCCAAGTCCTTATATTCTTCTTCTTCCTCTTCTTCCCAGAAGCTAGATAATGCACTTGGCTCTTTGCTGGCAGGTCTATCACCATGCCCAGTCCCTGCAGAGCTGTCAGGTGGCTTTTTGGGAATTCTGACATCTTCACTCTGCTTTTTTGAGCTCTCTGCCTTTCTATGTGGTACCTCATACACAGAGGACTTAAACTTTTCTATCATAGCTTGTTCTGCTTTTAGCTTGAGTTTACAGAGTTCAGCTTTCTCTCTCTTTTTCTTCAGTGCCTTGTCCCTCTGAAGTTCAAAGCTGTGCCAGAGCCTTTTTCCTTCTGTTCCATCTAACCGACTTCTTTCCTTGCTGGCAGTCACGACATCAGGAGTGCAGGTGGTTTTGCCATGTTTGATTTCTTTGGCTTTAAACTGGATCACTATTTTCTTCTGCCTTTCAGTATGAATTGAAGAATCATCTGGGGTTTTGCTTCTCTTTGGAGATTTCTCCTGGGATCTTCCTTCTGGATCGTGAAAACCACGAGAACTTCGGTGTCGCTTCTTCTCATGCCCATCTTTCTCTGGTTTGGACCTACAGAAACATGACCAAAACAGTAATTTAATTTAGCTCACTTAATGGAAAATAGCAACAAAAAAGGCACCTGCATTTGATGGAGACAAAGCTAAGCATTTATGAGCACCATATTCCTAAATATGAACTTGAAGCAACAGTTGTCCTTCAAAATAGTTTGATACAGCATTTTTTGGATTTTCCTTTCTCCACTGTACAGCCATTTTAGCTTTAAGAAAATGGAGAAAAAGCTTTTTCTGCATTCACTGTTGGTTTGAGAGACACCCTACACAGTTGAGTTTCTTCTTATCACACAGATAAGTTTTAACAGCAGTTCAGAGATAAAGGAGGCATGTTACCTAAAAGGTCAGCTTGGTGACACGGTGCCAAAACACACACAGCTTTCAAACTGTTTCTCCTGCACTGACTGGGCAACTTGGAAAGGGAACAATGGAGGGAAATATAACACCATTCTACAGAAATCATGAATTATTGTTAGGAAACTTTCTTATAAGAGCAGAGAAAATACTCAGTGATTATATTTACTATACACTGGGTTCAAAATATCCAAAGAAAGACTGGTTAAAACACCTTATTTTATTTGGAGAACAGGTTGAAAAAAAGTTTTCAGCATTAAACGGTCTGTGATTGTTATATTTTTAAGTAGTTCTATTTAGTGACAGATTGAGAATTTACCTCTGAAGATCTGTTTCTCCTTTTGCAGTGTGCTTGTAAGATCTTGTGTCTTCAGAGTTCTGAAAAAAAAAATTCAGGGTCTTACAAACAAAACTGCAGTTGAAAAAAAGAACTTCATAAGACAATGTCAAAACCGGGTGGTTTGTCTCCTTAGAGAAACACTAAGGTCAAAGGGTGCCAAGGATGTGCATGCAAAGATAAGGGTGCAAAGGGTTTAGCAGCACTTCATGATTTAATCATGGAGGACTTTAATGCTTACAAAGTGATTCAACAGGGTCCACTACAGCAGTGACAACTAGAGACCTGAGACAGCAGCATTCCTACCATGATCAATTCACAGGCACTCACCCAGGTAAAACCATGTAGTTTTTATACACCTCTGGGTTATACAACTCAGTTTTCCCCAAACCACAGCAGGGTGTAGGAAGTTACAACAGAGAAGGGTAACTCATGGATTATTTTGGATAAGGAAGCTCCAGACAGTTCATCCTTTCACAAATAATTCACTCCTTCAGTAACTGGGGCCTGCTGACTCAGTGAGGCAACTAGGTCACTGCTGCAGTGATTTTTCCTACCTAGAGAGGCTTTATCTGGTTTACTTCCACACTAGAGAGCACTTAATGCAAAAATCAAAGGCTTGCAGAAAGCAGGGGAGTCCTAACTTAAGGCAGTTCTGAGAAGTTCTGCCTGTGGCTGGTTCTGGAGCTGCAGGACCCATGCCAGCAATGCAAAGAACAAACAGAATGACAGACAATTCCAAAGGCTCCCCCCGGGGTCACATGCACCCCCCTGCTGTCCCCAGCAGCTGGAAAGCACTGAAGGAGCTCCCTTGGGGCAGGTGGAGCTCATGATGCTGCTGGGACAACTTCTGATAATAACAAACCCATTTCCAGCTGATCATTTCTCTCTTTAAAGCCTATTCCCTGACAACCATGAGTTTTCATGACATTTTTAATATTTCTTTTCAACCTACCTCCTCCTTTTCTCAAATGTTTTCATTTAATTTAATCATCATAAGCAAATTTTCTTACTGTTCCTCTCCTCCCAGCACTATCAGTTTGGAGTGTAAGACACTTCCCACCCATGCTGGGATCACACTGCAGGACACTTGCTCCTGGTTAGAGATTCCCTTATCTTTTTGCTGTTAAAGCTGTATTCTTCCAACTAGCTTATTAGCAATGAGCTACAGCACAAGGTTTTAAGCCAAGTGTTTACCCTTTGTATTACAGAAGTAAAAAAGCCTCAAAACAATAAAGCATCTTAGGATAAGTTAATTTTTAAAGACAAACTGAATAATAGTAAGGAAATCAGGGCAAGAAATAATAGTTACAAACATTTGACTTTGAACAACATTTTCTCTATGATCAAAAAGTTTCTAACACAAATAAATCAGTTTATAAGGCTATAATAATGCTTATTTATTAACAGTTGCAAAAAATTATTGAGAAGACAGGTAAAAGCTCTCTTACTTTATATATATTCCTTACAAAATCCAACAGGAAAAAAATCCAGCAAGTTTAAGTGTGGATTTAATAAACTACTGATTTATCAACTATGTCTTGCACTTCTGAGAGTAAATAACCTGTCAGAAGTGGACACAAACAATAAAAAACAATAGGAAGCTACACACAAGTATGACCAAAAGGTGGTAACACCTGTAGCACCTGTATTTTACAAGTGATTCAGTGAAAGCTGACTCACTAGACACAAGTATGTACTATATAAGAACATGCTGAGAATTTTGGTCATTAATTATGTCTCAGTGGCTAGAAGGAAATCTTTGAGAGTCACTCACCAAAATGCTGTGAAGCAAACTTGTGGTTAATCAGAAAATTAGGATATATCATCCAAGATCCAGAACAGTCCAAGAAAACAGCACTGGTTTCATTATCAATATTAAACCAATCTTTCTTCAAACAGAAAGATACACTAAAATGAAAAAGTTTCTTATTTTCTGATACCCATACCACTCACAGCCTCTGAAGAAAAACACATTTATCTGCCCAACTCAACCCTCCTGCTGTTCTTTATGACCCTGCTTTAAATTGGATTCATCCTTCTACCACAAGGCTACTAAACAATTAATGTTCTCTTGAATGCAGGAGGTTGAATTAAGATATAAAAGTAGTAATATTTCTGCTCATACTTTGTCATCCTGGCCATCCAAAGACACTTCCTTTCCAGACAGTTTCTTCAGCTTCTTTTTAGACATCTTCAAATCCTATGAAAAAAAAAAAAAACCAAACAAAAACATGTTGTCGTCATCCTGGCCATCCAAAGACACTTCCTTTCCAGACAGTTTCTTCAGCTTCTTTTTAGACATCTTCAAATCCTATAAAAAAAAAAAAAACAAACAAACAAAAACGTGTTGTCTTTATTTCTTGTTTTAAGTTTTTAGATCCAGATGAGATAAAAATAAGTTCTGACTGCACAGAGAAAAATACTTTATAATAGTCCTCTTTTGTTTTCTCACTACAGAGCCACAGCAGACCTCAACAGGGTTAATTAATTATTCATATCTGAGGGGACACCAGAGCAGAAAGGACAGCAATTACACCTCCCCAGAGACCTGGTACTATTTTGTACCAGCAAGCAAACAAAAACTAGTACACTTCAACACCGAGTCATATAACCAAGTTTTAAGACAGTCGGACATTGGCAGGGGCTGCCCAGGGAGGAGTCCCCATCCCTGGCGGTGTCCCAGGAAGGCCTGGACGTGGCACTCAGTGCTCTGGGCTGGGGACACGGTGGGGATCGGGCACAGCTTGGACTCGGTGGGCTTGGAGGCTTTTCCAGCCCAGCTGAAGCCGTGCCTGTCTGAGGCAGACCCGGCTGGGTGACTGTCGCCTTCGGCCCCTCGCGAGCATGGAGGAATTACAGTGACAGCCCCTCGGCAGCAGCCGCTCCACACAAACAGCGCACACCTCCAGGAAGTCCAGGGCAGCTGTGTGGAGCTTCACCCGCAGCTCCCAGCGAGGCGATGCCCAGATCCCAGCCCCGAGCGGGGCAGCTCCGCCCTGAGGCCGGGCAGCACCGGGCTCTGAAGGAGCCTCTCACGGGGGGCTGGGGGGCGACAGCTCCTGCCTCGCTCCCTCCGAGGGGACAGCCCGGGGCCCCGCAAGGTACCCGGGGTGCTGTCAACACAGCTTCCCTTCCTTCCGTCCGTTTCCCTTCCCTTCCTCCCCCCTCACAGGACGCCAGCGGCGCCGCCTCACCCCGCTCGGCCGCTCCCCGGCGGGCCCCGCGGCAGCTGTCGGGACCGTTCGGGCCGTGCCCGCCGCGGCCGCCGCTGCCCCGGCCC